CATGGCTATAATGTGTGATGCATTTTTATAAATATTTATAGCCATGTTTATGATGCCTTATGAATGCATTATAACATGTTATGAATGTGTTTACAGATGCTTACAAACGTGACAGTCATAGAAAGTGTTACCGCAGCAGCGGTAAATGTAGGCTAGTTGTAGGCAAGTTTAGGTTTATGCATTACTAAGTCAGAATGAGCTGCACCATACAAACTAGTTTTAACGTTGAGCTTAGTAGCTACTAAATATATACGCCTCCCTCCCTCAGCAGGTGTACGTGTTGGGGAAACCATCAGAAAACACAGAAAGCACAAAAAAACAAATAAGTGACATTTTCTGGAAGTTTGGGTTTGTAAACATTGTTAAAGTTCAGAGAGACAGCAGGTTTGATTCCTAGTGATGCCACAGCCATTCGTAACTGCGGGTTGTATTACCGAAACTTCCTGTGTTTTTGTTAAGTTAAGATCTGACAGGTCAAGATAAGATTTTACACAATTTTGTATTACAGAATCAAACCTTAACCTACTCCATCAAAGTCGACAATCAGCTGCCATGTTTGTTTGCCTAGCAACCGACCATAAACACACATAGCTGAAACATAAACACGTCATCAAAATAATGTTAAAAATGTGAGTTAAGCTGCTGTTACTGATGTAAAATAGGTCAAAACAGAGCTAAAGTGATAAACTGTAAGTAGTGAATGCTGTGAGAGCGCCCCCTGCTGTTTATCAGAGCATCGCCCCTCCCTATTCCCTCGATTTATTCATCTCTTCTTAAACTCCCCTTTAAAGGCTCTTCATATATCATGATCCTCATATGTTTCATATCTAAATGCTCCGTTATCTTCATCACTACTTTCCAAAACCGCTGCAGCAGCTTCAGCAGCTGTAAACTCTCTGCACGCCATTTCACATGAGTCTCCGATGTGGACTGAATGAAGAATGAAGGGTTTCCGGCGTGATGGTCAGTCTTAGTGATTTCCTGAGTGTCCACTGGTCAGTTTCACACAGAATGTAGAGGGACACACGAATCCACCAGTTCCACACGGTGAGAGGCAGATGACGTGTATCTCAGCCCCTCTTCATAGGCTCATAACTCTGGATGTGAGTCTCGTATGATCTCGTGATAAGATGGAATGGAAAGGGCGACTCTACAGATTCAGGAAGTGTCTGAACTGGATTTCTGAGCTGGATACCAAGAACACAAGTCCATTCTTCTTGTTTTTGGTTAAAAGACATCTACTGTTTTCAGTATAAAACAGGAAATTAACATTAAAAGACAGAAAACAAAAGAGCTTCTTTCTTTAAATGGCTGGATTGAAAGGTTGTGATTTCAGTGTGAATGGGAGGGGTTACACTGCTGTAGGATAAATAGGTCAATATACTGTACATAACTGTGACATTACAAAAACAATTCATTCAAAATGGGCTGTTTTTGTAGTTTAGTTTCGGTATATTGACTCTATGGCCTGGAGAGTGTTTTAACAATGCATACATACTCTTAAAAAGAGTTCTTCAAGGGTTCTTTAGTAAAGACATTAGTTCTACATAGAACCATGAACACCCAAATAACCACTTTCATGCTTATAGAGTTCTTTGCATGATGAGATGGTTGTTCAGATTGATGGAAGATGTGTTGTATGGGGTTCTGTATAGCACCCAAAATGGTTCTGCTATTGTTACAAGCTTGACATTGTAACATTTGGTGCTATATAGAACCATGAACACTCAAAGAACCTTTTGCATGGTTAAAGGGTTCTTTGCATCATAAAGAGGTTCTTCAGATTGATGGAAAATATGCATGAACGTGCTAGAGATGGTTCTATATAGCACCCAAAAAGTTCTTCTATTGTTACAAGCTGGACATCGTAACAATAGAAAATTCATATCTTGTATATAGAACCATATACGACACACTCTCCGTCAATCTGAAGAACCGTTTCACGCTGTAAAGAACCCTCGTTTATAAGATGTGCACTGCATCAAACTCTTATTTCAGGAAAGTGAGGCGAACTCAGTGATGTGGGTCCTTTAACAGTGTGGATAAATGGTCAGTGTGGTCGTATTAGTTAAACTCCCACACGTCCAGCGTTTCTCCTCACAGCCAGAGCGCTGGCACTGTGAGTAACGTCCACCAACACACGCTGATGCAAGTTCGCAGTGGCCATGAGTCATGTGGAGTGAAATATTCACCAAAACAACTGTTATAAACCTCCCTCACACCGCCATGAAAGATGGAACACAAACACAGCCCACGGCCTGCATTACATCAGATAAGGGCTCATTTCACTGATCGCCATGTTTTATTGGTTAAAGAAATCTCTGCAGACGTGATTAGACCTTCAAACCGGAGGAAACCTGAGGCCACACTGTGCACGTTATATTAAACAGCCCATATCATTATTTTTCAATAAGAGTTTGATGTAGCATGTAAACAGTGCTAAAGTTCAGAGAGACAGCAAGTTTGTTCGCTGGTGATGCCACAGCCATCCGTACCCAGGGGCCGTATTACAGAAACCTCATCTCTCTAGTCTTTAGTTCAGATCTGACAGGTCCAGATACGATTTTACACAGATTCATATACAGAAGCAAATCTGATCTTAATGATGGAATTTTGTCTTATCTTACAGCATCTTATCTCCAGTTAGGAAACCTTAACCGACTCGATCAGAGTCGACAATCAGCTGTCGTGTATGTTGCCTAGCAACCGACCCTAAACACACAAGCAGAAACGTAAACAAGCTGTAAAAAGGTCAAACAGAACTAAAGTGTGATAAACTGTGAGTTGTGAATACTGTAAGAGCGCCCCCTGCTGTTTATCAGAGCGTCACCGCTCCCCAGTTTCAGTCTCCATTTCCCGAACGCTTTAGCCGAGCGCGCTAACGTTACTCCTCCTAATAAACAGACACACGTTCAGCTCCGTCTCCTCATTATTCACCACCATCACTGTAATATTTCATCATCAACATTAACACACGAAGGTGATCAGAGGGGCGGTGGAGATCGAGTCTGCAGCGTCTGAGATCTTTAAAACGCAGAGTTAGAAAAGAAAATCATCTCACAGTGAAAGCAGCGTTTTACAGTAGAAATAAATGGAGCTCATTATGCTGGTAGTGAACTATGCTGCTGACTCAGCTGCCTAAAAACCATAGAAACGGACCTTAAACAGAAGTGAGGACCCTGTTGGGGTTCATCCTAAAGTTAGGACAGGATTTAGGAGGTTTAGTCTAGTTAGGATGTTTGTGTGATGCTGTTTTAATGATGAGATTATGAAGGTAGGAACTGTTATAGAGATCGTAGCTGTTCTCTCTCTCTCTGGGTGAGGTGGGTGGTCCTCCTTCTCCTTAGATTACTCAGAGCAATGTTAGCCAACACAGGCATCTGTTAGCTATAACAGAGTTAGCAGTTAGCTTCTCCTTTAAGCATGTTCAGCTGTTCAGTGACACTGTGTCAGGAGGGAGCTTGTGCTAGATTTCACAACAGAGAGATCAAACTAGTGGGAACTGGACAAAAAATTGGGTAGAAAATACAGAAAAATAAATAAATCAGTAAAGTAAGTGGTTCTAGATAGAACCAGGAACACTCAAAGAACCCTTTGTGTGATTAAAAGTGTTCTTTGTTAATGAAAGTGTTCTTCAGACTGATGGAGAACGTACTTTAGATGGTTCTATATAGACTCTTTTTAAAATAGCCCCCAAATGGGTTCCTCGATTGTTACTGTGTCAAGCTTATAACAATAGAAGAACCCTTTTGAGTTCTATATAGAACCATTATCAAAAAGAGTCTATATAGAACCATCTAAAACACATTCATGCACATTTTCCATCAACACAAAGAGGCTTTCATGATACAGAGAACGCTTTAATCACACAAAGGGTTCTTCGGGTGTTGAGGGTTCTATATAGATAAATCATAGTTTTAACTATAATAATAATCCTGACATAAGATGATCAGCTTTGCCAATGACTTTATATTAGAATCACCTCTTTTCGCTGACGTGCATCAACTTAGAGGAGCAGATTTAGGTGTTTCTCTGAATCCACACAGCCAAACAACACACATGCAGCTGTACGGAGTGAAGTCAAAACTCAATCCTGCGCATTCGCTGCAACAAATTCCACATAATACTGCACTGCCTGTACAACACCAATGAATACACTTCTAATTCTAGTGCTGGACTACATTTAACATACTGTATGTGATTTTAGATGCAGGGATTAAGTCAAAACACACTAAATCAACACATAAATCAGTGAATCCAGAGCCTTGTGGCTCTTTTTAAAGTAAACCATTTAACAATCAGCCTGATTTAAAACATTCAATATGAAATCACAGCATCACACAGTCTTAGGCTACACTGTTCATTTGAGTGGTTTATATTATTGTCATATAGTAGATATCATACACATCAGCATGTCTGTTTAGGGCTGGGCAATATGACAATCTATACTGTGTAACCAACTAATTACTTAACAGCGACATGTTTAATTATAAAAAGAGCAAAATTAGTCCAGTTTAACTGGATTTAGTGCCATTTTTTTACAAATATAAATCACTGTGTTGCTTATTTTGATAGTATTTCTAAAATGTGCTGCTTTTTTTCTGCTCCAACTGATCAGATGTCTGAAAAATAAACATTGTGACACATAGGGTATAGTGAAAACAGTATTGCAGTATTATATTTTTGCCATATCGCCCACCTCTATGTTTGCTGTGTTTTGGGCTACATGCAGTAAAACACATGTAGGCTGCTAATACCTGTGCTAAACAGCCCCAATCTGTCTTTAACCCTGCGCTCACTTTCCTCCAGTGCAGTATAAACCTCCTCAAACAGTGAAATAAGTTGGATATTATGATGCAGCTCAACTGAATCACTCCACAGCTTCGTAAACGACTCTGAACTGCCTGCTTTTCTCTGCCACTGATCCAGAAGAACAAGTGTGTTTGCTGTGTTCACCCCTCTCAGCGTGCGGTTTAATGCGTGTTTGGTGATGTACTCACGGCAGAAGGTCGCAGGATGCAGATCAGCAGCAGCAGTTTCAGCACCACGGACAGCGGCAGCATCCTCAGCTATAAACCCCCTCATTCACTGCAACATCTCCTCCTCTCCTCCTCTCCTCCTCCTACCGTCCGCCTGCTCCGAGCACACACACAGACACACGAACACACACGCTCAGGGCAGCCTCACCGGCGTCGCAGCTCCGCCAGCAGCGCAGCGGGAAAGTTTCCAGCAGCACTGATGAAGCTAACAGCACCACACACTCCAAACTGCAGTAGTTAATGGAGCTCTGTAAGTCTGACCAATCAAAACAGAGTACAGATGCCGATAATAGTGGACAGATGCCAAAACCTGCATCTGTACTCCATTAACAATATATGCTGAGTTCCAAATCAGATTGTTTTTAGCAGATAATTGCATTAAAATGTTTAGAATTGTCTGATATATCAGGGAGAGCTTATATCTGTAGTTTGGCTCCAAAACAACACAGATCAGCACTCAAAACAAGGAGGAAGGAGCTTGAAAAGATCTTCAAATGCAGTGATTTGTCTCTGCAGACAAAGATCTGAACTGTTACTATCCATATCATTTTGTACGTAAATTTCATGATGAATGGACTAAAAGAAACGACCCAAAATGACTTGTAAAAAAGTCTGGTTCCATTGACTTACATTAAAAGTAAAGTATGTTTTTTTCTTCTCCTGTAAAGTTACCATTTTGGAGATACGAAGTTTTGTTCAGACAGCAGCGATATGGTAGGGGTGGATGAGAAGAAGTCAAATTTATATCACGGTATTTTATACTATTCAGACGATAATGATATCACGATATTAAATAAATGAAAGAACATTACATCTTCTTCTTCTTCTTCTTCTTCTTCTTCTTCTTCTTCTTCTTATTATTATATTATTATTATTACTACTATGTTCCTGGGACCAAGCCCAAAATGGCACAGCATTGAGCTTTTAATGGTCTAGATAACAAATCATTAAAGAAACAGTTGCAGTCAGTCAGTGTGGGGAGATTTTCCCTCTGATTTCTTTAACCCTAGTGTGGTGTTCAGGCCTGTGGGACTCATTTTCATACATACATCATCTAAACCGCTTATCCTTCTGGGTCACAGTGGGGTGCTGGAGCCTATCCCAGCTGTCATTGGGCGGAAGGCAGGATACACCCTGGACAGGTCGCCAGTCCATCGCAGGGCAGACAGACAGACATACACAGTCACACTCACACCTAGGGGCAATTCAGCATGTCCAATCAGCCTGACTACATGTCTTTGGACTGTGGGAGGAAACCGGAGTACCCGGAGGAAACCCACGCAGACACGGGGAGAACAGGCAAACTCCACACAGAGAGGACCCTGGTCACCCGGCCGGGAATCGAACCCAGGCCCTTCTTGCTGTGAGGCGACAGCGCTACCCACTGCGCCACTGTGGCGCCCCAACTCATTTTCAATGTTTACCAAAATAAAAAATGGTGTGATTTATTATTATTTCAGCCTCAGATTCTTGGCCTTCACTCGTTTTCTGTGAAGAACATATAAAATAACCCATTTTCAGTGTCTTCACTCTGTTCACCCCCCACACATTTATATTACACGTGGTGTTGGGTGAACCTGCAGGGAGTAAAAGTGTGGAGGTGCTGTGTCCTTCACTCTGTTCTCCTCCTACATGGCCTGCTGTTAGTGTGTGTGTGCGTGTGTGTATGTGTTTGTGTGTGTGTGTGTGTGTGTGTGTGTGTGTATGTGTTTGTGTGTGTGTGTGTGTGAGTGTGTATGTGTTTGTATGTGTGTGTGTGTGTGTGTGAGTGTGTATGTGTTTGTATATGTGTGTGTGTGTGTGTGTGTGTGTGTGTGTGTATGTGTTTGTGTGTGTGTGTGTGTGTGTGTGTGTGTGTGTGTGAGTGTGTATGTGTTTGTATGTGTGTGTGTGTGTGTGTGTGTGTGTGTGTGTGAGGGTGAACAACATATTTTGGGTTTGGCCCATTTTTTCCCCAGATGTGTAGTGCTGTTATCGTTGCCACTGTTGCCATAATAAACAGCTGGATTTCACTCTCACTTTCTGTCATTTTCTGACTTGGAGACGACAGAACACTTGGTGTTATTTCCTTTTTTAGTGACCAGATGAATAGTTATGCTTCATCTTCTCACCCTTGATGTGAGAGGGAGGCAGAGCCCTAGTGAGCGTACAAGGCCGACCAGCTCTGGTTACAGTGGACTATGTTGGTACGTGATGATGCACCTGCATGAAGACAGACTGCTATAAAAAAGTCAGTCGAACTTTAATCTACATTACAGAGAGGAGGGTCTTCATTGTGACTTTCTGGGAGTTGAGAGGGAAAATCTAATGAAGTTATACAAGGAAGGCAAAGAGTTTTTCCAGTCAGACTCACCATAATGCTAACGTTAATGTTACCATACATCACTCCAGTGTTGGGAGTCATCACTCAAAAAAACAGAGATTGCTGAGAATGACTGATACGGTCGTTAGGGTTAAGAAGCTTCTGTAAAACCCTGAAGGATAAGTCTGTTAAATTAATATGATCTGATAATTGTTCATTTATCATTGAGTTATCATCAATTAATATCAGGTGATTTCTTGTGGATGAGTTTCATTCTGAAGTAGCTTCGGTTAAAATGCGAAGCTTAAGTTTATATTAAACTGTAATGCATTGCACTGCACCGCGACCCAGAAGGATAAGCGGTTTAGATGATGTATGTATGTATGTATTGCACTGCACTGCACTGTGTTTAACTCTGTTTCTAGTTCTCTCGTATCAACATGGACTCTTGTTTCTAGCAGTATCTGAGATCAGGACTCTCTCTAACCTATTGGTAACTAGCAAAGATACTTTCTTATTTTCCGTTCCACCTTAAACGGGGCCTCAGTTACATGTAACTGCTGTGTTATTTAAGGTAGAACTGAACATTAGAAAAAGAAGCTGGTGAATAGGAGCCTTTAGCCTCGTGGTTAAAACTGATGGTGACATGTTATTTTTGACTGAATGTCTGAAGCAGAACGGAAGCGAATCTCAGACATTTCAACTAAGTTAGCTAAGTCAGGTTAAGGTCGTCGTAAATCCGTTTGTATTCGGTAACGTTTATTAGTTAGCTAACAAAAGTTAGCGTGTTAGCTTTAGCTTGTGTCTAGTGTTGTTAGCAGCTCAGCTGGTTCTCTCTGTATCTTCTGGTAAAGTTAGATGTAGATATGAAGTAACTGAGATTATATTCCATCTGAACGAAAATACAGTATTTAATGCGGCCAATGTTTAACACAAAGTGATGTCCATGATAAGATGGCTGAAAATATTAGCTAATACTTTGGTGTGATATCAGTATCTGAGTGGACTCTCCTGAGGCCCTGAAGGGCTATTGTGAGAAAATAGATATTTATGGCATCAAGTTCACTTGAAAAATTGTTGCGTTCTCTTTCCAAATCCACTTAATTTGCAAAGGAATGCAAACGTTTTGAGGGAATGCAATGTTTTTTTTTTTCTTTCTTTTAATCAGCACATTAGAGGCTACATGGGAATCCAAGTCAGTTATTTCAGACATTTTTTCACTAAAAAAAAATTAGAATCTGTTTAATATACTAATTACTTCTCTCAAACTAATGGGATTATGTCACTCATCACTTTATGGAAAAATTCATGCCATTTCACATTACTTTACTTCTGCCTTACTGTGTACCAAATCATCTCACTATGTTTATTAGTTTGTTTGTTTAATTTTAGGATCCCCTTCAGCTGCTATCACGATAGCTGCTATTCTTTCTTCCAGTAGTACTGTACATTACAAAATGCAGTAGTGCAGTAACAATCAACAAACTTTTTTAAAGGAAAAACAAAGAGAGAAAATAAAACATATGAAAATGAAAAATAACACAGCAGGACCATTTAAAACATAAAATAACAGGAAAACAATCGATAACGTAAAAATCACACTGAAAGAGAAGGTCATTCGGTGTGTCTCACACAGACCTTAGCCGACTCTGTTCTGGTGAGTATCTACATCTCTGCCCACCATAAAACTCTAGTTTTGCTTGTTACAAGCAATATTTCTTAAAACAAGCAAAATGATCTGCTAAAATATTGAGCACATTTCACTTAATGAAATTACTCGAGAGAAAAAGTCTAGAAATAAGTTTATAATACGTTTACAGAACTCATCAGAAATATAAGATGTACATATACATAATCTAAACCGCTCATCCTTCTGGGTCACAGTGGGGTGCTGGAGCCTATCCCAGCTGTCATTGGGCGGAAGGCAGGATACACCCTGGACAGGTCGCCAGTCCATCACAGGGCAGACAGACAGACATACACATTCACACCTAGGGGCAATTTAGCATGTCCAATCAGCCTGACTGCATGTTTTTGGACTGTGGGAGGAAACTGGAGTACCCGGAGGAAACCCACGCAGACACGGGGAGAACAGGCAAACTCCACACAGAAAGGACCCTGGTCGCCTGGCCGGGAATCGAACCCAAGCCATTCTTGCTGTGAGGCGACAGTGCTACCCACTGCGCCACCATGCCAATAGTTTTTGCATCTCTACACTCTTAAAAAAGATGGTTCTTCAAGGGTTCTTTAGTAAAGATGATTCTATGTAGAAACACGAACACTCAAAGAACCATTAGCATGATTAACCCCTTAAAATCCCAGTCTTATTACATAATAAGGCTTATTGTTCAGTAACTACAGAGACTTCAGTGCAAACTGGCTGAGCTATTCTCAGATTATAGAAGTGTGTAATAAAACTCCTGCATTTAAGGGGTAAAAGCGTTCTTTGCATGGGGAAATGGTTCTTCAGATTGATGGAGAATGTGTTGTATATGGTTCTATATAGACGCTTGTAACATTAGAAGAACCCTTTTTGGTGCTATAGAACCATATACAACACATTCTCCATCAATCTGAAGAACCATTTCACCATGCAAAGGGTTCATTTAGTGTTCATGGTTCAATATAGAGCCGTTATCTTCATCACCATATTTTTTTAGGAGTGTACTTTAAAAATGTGCATCCAGGGGGCGCCATTCCTGTGTTTTGTCCACGCCTGGCTGTCAGGGCTATTAGCTAAAGGCTAATGTACACTCCTGA